TGATGCACCTTCACGATGCATGCATATTTATGAAGTGTTCGACGGCTAGTTCGACACTAGGACTTATTGTAGACAAATATTGATTCAGTATTAACCTGTAGTCATAGAATGAGTAATATTGTGTATAATAACGGTGGCTTTTCATAGACAACACTTTTGGTTGCACAGTAATTAGTACATACTAAAAAATTACTAACGCGAAAGTAATTATATAGGCACTACTAATCATAGTTTTTCATCATTATAGTATTTTTAGTTTACGTGTGTAAGTACTACGTATACTCGTATTAAATGTGAAAAGTTTTATTGCTTGTTAAGTATATTATGCATGTATTGTAGTCTAGAAATTAGACCCGCAATAGTATGTATAAACAAAATGGCCGACCGGTGATTCATATAAATGTTGCGGTTTCTTCAACTATTTAGTGAATGAGCAACATTATGAGAAATCGCTACGGTTCCTCCCAGCTCTATCAGTCACCAATACGAAAAATGCTTTTGTTGCCATCGGTATAAGTTTTTACATCGCTGTATGGGTTATAATGCCACTTAACATATAATTTGCCATCGAAATCTCAAGGTTTGAGTCAACCCTATATTTTAGAAAAGTCATTATTTTCGGAAAAAAGTAATAACCTTACTCCTTATACATATATAAATAGTATTTTATTTTAGAGCATACGCCCATAATAAAATGATATTGTTATATATGTATGTTTTGTAGGAATTTAGACGAATATCGCCGCGGCGTACCTAATCGGTCATCACTCAGAGTACCTTTCACTAAGCCTTATGAAAGATAAACAAAAACATAGGTTTTTATTTGTCTTTCATTGTGTTTTATATAAGGAGATTATACCTAAATAGTTTTTTTGCATAGTCAGATGCACGAAATAATTTAAATTAAACTTTAATTACTAAATAAATAGAACGATAAAGTCTAAAAACAAATCCTGTATTTAAGTAAAATTTTAACTTCTCGTCGACTCCGTTTAAAGTCGAGTCGCTTAAAATCAAGTAGGTTCTCACGTCTCGTCTCACTTCAAACGAAGTGAAATACTAATTATTGTTTTGACTTGTTTTTGCAAACATATCTAGTTTAAACACCACTCACAAGCATATAGGTTTCCGAAACCTATCACATGAACAAAATGAACGGCCGTTCTCACAAAAAACTGCCCTTAAACTATTTGTTGTGGTTTCCATAAAAAGACAAAAAATGGAACATCAAAAACCAGTCAGCATTGGTCGGTGCTTTTCGACTCCAGTGGCCTTGTACAAAAAACGATGTGTTAAGGAATGTAAAGAGCCATTTAATTATCCTAATATATTGTTATGGTCGCAGAGGGAGGCGGTTATAAATTAACGGCGCGACCGGCCCTGTCAGAGGTGGCGAATGGTGCCGGCAAATGGAAACACTCATTTGTCTAATGTATTCAAATTTCAACCGTTTAGTACTATTTAAAACGACATTATATCTATCTAGCAATTAGAGAGAATACATGGTTCTATCGTATGAATGTATTCGCGGCCTACGGCATTGCATTCTCATATTACCGTGCCCGCTGTTTCAGTGCGATGATCCTCAGGCTTTTTATTCAATTTTTACCTCAATTCCGGCAGACGGCCTTCATTATGCGTTCGCAAGTACTTCGGTTGCCAGTCCGCCACCGGTTCAGGTAGCTTGGCGTTTCGCTTCAAAAGTTGACCTTAGGTATTGGATTCGCTTGTTAACTTTTTGTTAATCTATACGAGCTTTTGATGTTCTGTAATTTGATAATTCACGACAACGATTTTACGTAAATCGAGTTGGTGTGATAAAAACTCGTTTATTGGACGACGTTTATTGGAGGCATACGGTTGCATACCGAGCTGATATTAGTATATGTAGGTATCGAGCAGTGGGACAGGGCGAGGTGTCGGAGGCAGGGCGTCCTGCTGCGCCCGAGCATTGTGATCGACAGCTTGTTTACTAAAAATATGCATAATGAATTTATAATAGCCCGTCAGGTCCGTTGCGTTGCCACACTACCAGTACCCGTGAGTTGAATCTACTAAACATTAAATAGACAATTATCAATAGAATCAATATTAAACTAGGTAGATAAACTTGGATCTTTGAATATACACAAGAATGTCATGGTTTATTTATTTAATAATATGTTACACGTAGTCAATTCTCATACTAATTCTAAGTACATTAACTATTATATGTACCTAGATATTTTAGTACAGAACCATGAATAATCTTCAATTTATTGGTGATAGAATTTTATACAATTCTTAGTGAAATTCAAACGCCTTAGCATGTTTACTTCACAGTACGTAGGTATACTTTTATACAAGAAACGTATACTATTCTAATGAAAATGTCTCAGGGAAACATTGACGCTATAAGTCTATTAAACATAATCATGTTTGGCATTACAGCGAATAAAAAATATAATCAGGTAGATATAAACCAAAACATTTCAAGTAATAAATAAATTGGGAGTTAGTATTGCAGAAATGTGCACGTAATTATTTTCTCTTGTAACTATTAACAGAGGCTTGTTACGTAGAATTACATTGTTTAGACTATGCTGTTATTTTTAAACTCACTGAGATTGTGTAGAAAATATTCTCGTATACAAAAACTAGCCTAAACTAGTCCATGCGGTATGTAAGGTAAATTTATACAATATTTAATATAGTAAAATAAAAATCAAATGTGTCTTTCTACCACTTTTATTAAACTAATTAGTTTTACATTTTTAATAGGTAAATAAAAATGCACCTACCTATAATAATAATTATATAAAATTTTGAAAAACTGTAGAAATTAAGAAATTAGTTGCAACTCCGGTAAATTAACTAAGTATAGGTTCAAGACTGTGCTGTGCAATATCCACGCGCTCCCATGTCTATGCATAAGTGTCATTTAATATTTCCATATATATATAAATATGATGTAATAACTAAGATAATATGCGCTAATAAAATCAATTTGTAAAAAAAATTCTTCTCAGTCGGTAATTATTTCATTTTTGTTTAGTTTATTTTCTAGATTATTGATAATTAGATTCGACAAAATGGAGTTGATATGTTTGGTAACAAAAACTCCAAATTCAATTTAGATAATAAAAAAACATAATTTGAATCAAAGATAAATTATTTTGTTTACCAGTGGTATTTATATGAGCTAGTATACCTATTTTTAAAGAAAACATATTGTAAAACTTATTACGAAAGCAAGAATCCCAGTGTTATGATGGGTGCGAAGTGCCTAATTGCGGTACCGAAGTGTTCCCACGTTTAAGTGCACGAAATGTTTGAGCTTGCATTTAGCATTCGATTGTTTTAGTGCGGACCGAGACGACTGCGCGGAGCAAACATTGAGCTTCCTGAATGCGGCATTTTGGATATCAAGCCTTCCTTCATTCAAGAATACAACCGTGTCAATTATAAAAGAAAAAAGAACATTGTGTAGATACTAAATATCGTAGTAATAAGAAAATAATAATAGACTTGTTTAGAAATAGAAGAATTAAGATTAAGATACATATGTGTATGTAGGTACTTATTGTTAGATAAAAAGATAACATGTAGGTACTGTTAGTAGTTAACATGTAGATCTTTATTTTCTTAATTTTTGACTACGAATTTGTATTTATTTATAATGATTTATTTATTTATATAAATGTTAATTTTGTCGATATTTATGGTGAATTACTTTGTTTATTGTATCGTTTTGTAACCTAAAATTATCATTATTTAAATAGGTTTATTACTTTTGTTGTTATCTACCTACAGTACAAGTGGTATTTAATTAGTTAACCGTGTTTATATAAACATTTACGTACCTACTATCCATCACATGAATAGCATTTATTTAATGCATGTACTTACATGCACTAAATAACTTTTTTATTTTAACAAGTAGGTAGACATCTACCTACCTACTTGTTAAAATAAAAAAGTCTGGACATGACTTACATCATTGACTATAGTAGCTATGTGAAGTAAAATCTAGGAAAAATAATACTAAATCGACGTCAGCTGTTGTATACCGAAATCTGACACAATAAGTGTTGAACTAACAATGCGTACGAAGAGGAAAACTGAATCTCGTAACGAGATACCGTGAAAAATCTGGAATCACTAACGGAACACAAACAAACATGCATTTCTCGCAACTCTTTATTAGGTGGTTGGTATGTTCGTAGAAATAATTATGTACGGTGCTCCAAAGTATCTGTCGCGTGAATACATCGCTGCGTCGCCCATGCGGGGCGCCCGCTCGCCACGATTCGTTACGTCAATCTCTGAATTTTTTCACTAAGAAATCTGCATAGAGTGAGTTGACACCATGCGACAAAGCCGACACGCGGCGCGCTTCGCATTGTTCACGTTTCTTTATAAATATTTTGACATTGCCTTTATTTGCACCGCGATGTTTCACAAATGAAATTGTGTCGATCTTTTCATGCGGCGCGTTTTAATTTGATTTATTCCTTCACAACAAATACCCAACATCCTGTGTTGTCTGACTGGATGTCGAGCGGCGGCGTTTGTCAATTTGTTAGCACATCTATCGGTATTTTCTTTAGTAAGTGCAAACAAAACCCACCACATGTCTTTGAACTGTTCATATGTCCTAAAGTATCATTTAGACTACTCACCGCGATTAAAAAATTGAATACTATTTTATATATAAGGTGGGTGACCCAAATAAGGCTTACCTTAATTTTTTTATTATCTAACTAGCGGGTTTATAATAACAATGCACTGAAAATTTTAAATAACTATATTTATTTCTTAAACTTTATAATAAATCAAACAAAATTACTTTAGGAACAAAAATCACACTTTTGTGAATACAAATAACTAAAATGTATCTTTGTCGTTATTGGGAACCCTGTGTCTTAATAAAGAAAACACATTCAATATCTAATATATTCATTTAATTATTTATATGTCTTAAACATAAATGTAATGTAAAATTCTTCTATAAATTCCAGAGATGCAAAGAGAAATTAAATACTCTTGCGATCAGCGTAATGAACCAATGGCCGGGTGTGCGGCTGAGGGTCATCGAGGGTTGGGATGAAGAAGACTCCCACGGCGAAGATTCATTACACTACGAGGGTAGAGCGGTAGATGTTACCACCAGTGACAAAGACAAAAGCAAACTCGGCATGCTGGCGTGGCTGGCCCGCCAGGCAGGCTTCGACTGGGTCTACAATCACGGCCGGTCTTATGTGCACTGCTCAGTCAAAACAGGTATCTATCATATATAAATTGTATTTTATTTATAAATTATATTATTTTATATAATGTGCGATTCTATTCACTTCACTATATGTATCATCGTTTTATAGAACTGCGAACTTATAAACCTTTTGAATAACTTTAAAAACAGGTGTCCATAAACAGCCAGTATTAAACGAGAACTAGTCTTGTATGCTATGGTTACTGTATGATAATGCGCGTGAAGTTATTTTACGTCAACAAGCTTACATATATTCGTATTTGCATATTACTATAATCATATTTAAATTTGTCGTGGGAAATGGAGCTTATCGCGTTGAAGTCTTTTGTATGGCGCCACATTTAGTTTAAACATAATCACTTCCATGGAGCTTTAACTTAAAATATCCATGATTTTGCCATTAAAATTGAGTTAATAATACTTTTATTGACTTTTACCAATAGATAATAATAACCCAATTGGCAGAATCCCGACTCCTATTATATATTTAATCATTGCATGAACTCCAAATTTAGTTCATATTTACTACTTAGGTTTTCTTAACAGCCTGTTACTAATTCAAATCTGTGTAGTCCAGGACAATAACTGCCACTCTATAATAACAAAATATCGACTTAATATTATTCTTTTTACAAAAACATATTAAAATGTGAGCTGCAAGTATTCCTGAAATATGTTTTCGAAACATTTAGAAATCAGTTTATTTGATAATAGGAATAGCTATATGATTGTTAACATCTCGCTAGTATATAACTGTACAAATAGGTTCACGGTCTACGGGATGGGCCAAATATATAGTTGAACTTTAACGAGAAGAATGCACCACAGACAACTTCCCGCGCCCGCGCCCCGGCGGTGTCGATCAAACGGACGAACAAGCCTCTTGTTAGCATCCCTCCTTGTCTCACCCATGCCACTTTACTACTTCTGTCCCTTGTGCACACGGCCGCATCGCAGCCAATCCCCCACTTCAATAATTACGCCGGTGATTCAATGGCTACTTATATCTATACGTGTGTATACGCCATAACGATGAGAGAAGCGAGTATTTATATGTATGTGTGTGTTTTAGATATAATGGAGGCATTCCGGGGCGCTCGCATAGCTCCAATTAATTTTGCAGATGAGCCTTCAGAGTAGAAACGGTTTATGAAAGGGAAACTTTGTTATAACTAATAAACATTAGTTGTGAGCTTGATAGCTTTAATAGACTTAGTTTATTAATTTACTTTATAGTAGATATGATTTATATATAATAATTACATTTTATTTTATTTTTCAAGACGGCTCATCTAAATATTTTGTGTAACATAAATAATGTGCAATTATATTAATAATAATTTTTTTACTGATTGACTCTCTCTGATATGTTCTCGATTTTTAATGTTATCATAGATGGCAGTAATTTTTTTGTATTCAAAATATACCTGCATACATGTGTACTTGTTGCCTTAGTAGTAGTGTGTGCCTAATTTATATAAATTATTATTATATATACATATATATATATTATGGATATAATTAATATTTATATAAGCGTACATTGTTCTTCTCAGAGTGATGTCGCATCTCTGTTGGTTGCAAATGTTTATTCATGTATTCTGGTGTTTTATACAACGGCCACTACGGTATTAATTTAGAGTTTATGAATATTTAATGTTCCCGTATAGGTATGTAGCGGTCGTGGCTCTTTGTTGGTCATGCTCCGGTCAAGGTCGGGGCACGCACGAACTCCCTGCGCATGCGCATGCGCACTCTCCCGACTTACCAAGTCATATCAGTAATTTGCTAAACTCTCTTCGATAGATACTAACCTATCGTTGTATGATAAAGGGAATAAACCTACGACTAATTGAAAAAAAAATCTTATTTTAACTGCAGGCGTATATTAATTTGGCATATTAGCAAATTCTAGTCTTGCGTTGTCCAATTTTTCTTCGCAAAAATAGACAAGGAGATCTAGCAGAAAACATGAAAAGAGACAAAATCAAGGATTTAGATTTTGCTTCCTTTTAAAATGAGTTTAGCTATAACTTCAGAATTCGCAAATAACTCAATTTGAAAGACTTATTAAAGATTTTATTAATGTCTCATATCAATTTCGCTTGAATTAAACAATAGGTGCGTAATAACTGGTGCGTAAATATATTTATCTGGATTGAGATGATTATCTAAGATATACCTAGACAGGCTTACTGGATTCAAATTCTTTTTAGAATAGTTTTACAAGTGGTCCGCTCGGCTTCGCCTAGATACATATATATTCGTGTTTTTATATGTAGGTATATATTAATATAATATACAACCTATATCGCTGTAGGGATATAGATGGATGAACATAGTATATATGTATAATAAGAGTATCGTTTTAAAATATATATTTCTTAGCTAATATTTATGATAGGTTGCTTACGTCTCGTTCTAATAAACACTATCCGACAGAGACAAGGAGTGTGACCGATACGTGTTAACAATATTGGGTCGTAATTAAACTGAAGTATCGCACTAATCACAGCACCAATGAAACTATGGCTGATGTTTTTGTATCGGATCCAATTAATTGGTTCTCATTGGTCGGCGAGCGTTTCTTTTATCTGAGCTGTGCTATTTTTTTATTACCGTCCATTTAAAATATTAAATTACACTTTTACATTCATAAGAAATTAATATAATAAATTAATTACATTTTAGTCAAAAAGGTAGGTATACGTACCGATATGTTTCTATCCATACCATTAATAAATATCATAAATACAAAAGAATGTATGTTTGTCTGTTTGTTTATTATCTTTTTACGGCTAAATAGCTGAACTGACCCTAATGAAATTTTATATTAATACACATGGTAATATTAAGATCGGACATGGCTATTTTCATATCAAAAAGTAATCTGTAAGGTGTTGAAGGTTTATGCAGTCGAAGTTCGGGATAACATCGATGAATCTATAAAATCAACATTATAAATTATTTTGTGAAAAGAAGTTTTCTGTCAATTTAATTAAAATGGATTGTTGGAAATAACTAGATTGAAATTTAAACATTCATTGATTTGCCGACCTTGATGATTTAGCTGTTTAAAATACTGTCTCACCTACCGATGGTCACTAGTTCCATCAAATATAGATAAATATGTGTAGTCATAAGTATGAGAGTCATATGTATATAAACAGTTTTCTATTTAAGATCATATACCTAGACGTATAAAAATTTAAACGTATAATATAGGTATATATGGTCATTTCATCAATTTTGGTTCAATTCCTCGTACCCAGATCAATACCTTTGTGTCTTTGTAAGATACAAAAATATTGGGTATTTTCTGTACATACAAAAATAAATTAAATCAAAGCCTTAAATAACTTTCAGAATCTTTATATTATATAATAATTATCTACTTATCCATAACTATAGAAAGTAAATACCCCAGCAAAATAAAAATAAATATTACCTAATCATAATAAATAAATTAAAGAAGTTGGTTGTTCACTCATCTCAACACAAATATGAGCAGTTATGTTTATTTGATGAGAGTGATGTGTCTAGATGACATAATCTATTACCTATTGAGGTAGCAATTTGGTTATAGAATGAAGCAGGATTTTACTATAATCTTTGTGTAAATTATGTTCTATACGTAGATTCATCGTATAATAAAAGAATGCTTTTGCTTTTTCATTTCTTTTCTTATTATATAAATAAATCTTCATATTATAGATCGTTTTAAAGACATCAACGCGTTTAGTTTGCAAATAAAATGTTTGTTATGTATCTGCTATTTATGTTTATTATATTTGTTTAGTATTAAGATGTGTATGTAACATGTCAATTAGGTGTTATTCTGTAAAATATATAATGCCTGTGTTTATGTATTTCAATATACTCTTATAGGTATTGTATTGCAATACGACTATGCTAATTGGATGCATCAATACGGTTATATACGGCTGATTGTCTCCGTTTATGTTTTAGTTCATTCGTTGTTTGTTCTAAACAATGCAACATGTACTAAAGATAGTCGTACACCTATGAAACATACAGTCTATGGGGCGTGACCACGGTCACCGGGGCAGGTCATATTGCATACAACAGGACGGTCCCATCATGACAGAAAGACAAACAAATAATGTTACTCATGCAACTTCACATGGCCAATAAAAACCACAGTAAATTTTATTAAGTGCCAAAAAACGAATTCATAAGTGGCCGTGCCCACGATTTGTAGTGGCTTTTAAAATCTTTGCTCATGTTGATACGCTATAAAATGTTACGAATATGGTCTCAGTACACAGATCACACAGATTTTTTTTGTGTTTGGTATATGAACGCTAAATAATAAACTGTATTAACGCAAACATAAATTTTTCTGAAATCGACTTTAAAATCGAAACGTTAAAGTTGATGTATTAAATTTTCTAATTTTGATTTGATACATTTTACTATGAACCATGTGATATGTCAGGTGTTTAAACTTTGCTTATTATAACAAAAGACTTTAAGGCTAACATTCGCATTTTTTTTCTTTATTTAACTACAAATTTGAATATCCATGTATGTATAGGCCCGTTAGTCACTCATTAAATATATTTAATTTATTTTAACTGATTACGTATTTACATACGTTGACGTAATAAAGTTAACGAATTTATACATCTACCATGTATTCTTTATCTCATTACATGTTATTATTAAGCAGGTATATATGTATCTTCGTAGAAACAGATATCTATACATACATTTCTTACAACTTTGATTAGTAATTTATTCTAATTTTTGGATACCCAGTTTATCTCTAAATTATATTTATAATTAAAGAAAAGTAATGCAACACATGAAACGTTAGAATTCGTTGTTAAATAGTTAATAAAATTTAACCACAATTATATTTATATTATGAGTAAATTAGAAACGATTACAAAATATCACTATTTCCACGTATTTTCTCTGAATATAATTTATTAAAAAAATATTTAAAACAAAAATAAAAATGACATCCTTTTCTTGAATGATGCTA